TGTGTGTGTGTTGTTCCTTTTCGGGAACACCGATCTCAACCCGGACCTTGAGATCCGAGCGCTGCACTTCCGGCAGGGTGTGCTCGTGCAACTGATGCGGCCAGGCGAGTCGAATCGTGGCGCCCGCGAGGTGAAGATGGTCGTTGGGGAAGGGGAGTTTTTGTAAAGATGCCCCATCAAAAGGGCGAATCTGGAGAGCGATCCAATGCGGGCCCAAACAATTGATTCTCACAAGAATTGTGTGGTTGTGTTCTACTGATTATTAAAATCAACTTAGGGACCTGGCAACTGGCCGTCTGTCTCAACAAGCCCAAAGTTCAGGGCTCATCCCTGCATATCTGGGGGTTCAAGGGATTTGGGGTCTCAAAAGCAGGGCATGTTCTACCCTGCCTTGCAGATGCAGAAAAAATAACTGGCCTTTCTGAAGCCGTGCGCTGAGCGTCGTTTGCACTGTTGAGTTCAAATGGTGTAAAGCCCCAAGACATCCCAACGGCCCGTTGGCCCAAGGAAACGGGTCCAAAGGTCAGTCACATGACGCCCCTAGCTTCCTACGGTGTCCAAACGAGGAGAAACGTCTCACTCGCGACCAGTGACAGAAACAACCCTTGCCCTCGGATGAGCAACCTGGTGATAGGCGGACTCAGTGAGCAACCTGCCAGAACAGCCACACGTGTCTCTGTGCCAAAGTCTTTGAGACTTCGATGTTTTGGTTGTCCTGCCAAATACGAAGTGAGCAAAAATGTCTTCCAAAGCATCAAGCGGCATGGCCCGATTTGTCGGGTTTGGCGTTTCACCGCACCCCGCTGGAGTTCTTGTTTCAAAGTTGTGGGACCACCAAGTGGACTCCTAGCTAGGTCTCCACATTTCTCAGCAGAAACCAATGCCACGCAGCACGACCAACTTGGCTGGAAATGAAAGCCAAGGAAATGAAGTGGTCCATTTCGCACAGAACTTCTGGGCCCAAAGAGCTCATCGTCACACTTCACCCCCGCCTGAAGCAGTGTCCCGCGCGCGTTCGGCCAGCGCGGCCGCAGCGCTGACCTCTGAGAGGGTGGCTGGGCTGTAGATTTAGTGAGTGCTCCAAACACATCTCGACTTGACAACCATGTTCCTCTATGATGTTGACCCACAGCAACAAGGACATGGAAGTGGCAAAGTGAACTGGAGGATGACATTTTCCTCAAACTGACGGATCCAGCTTTGTTAATTCCAATGATGAAACTTCATAACTCCTGGAAAAATAATGATGTATAACTGTATAAGTTCTGTAGTGTTCCCTACCAACATGTGTTTCGTCACTTCCGTATGTTCTTCGTCGGCTTCATGGGAGTGTATCGTATCGTTCGGCATCGTTTGGCCTGAGAGATACTTGGCTTCATGGAAACTGAAGACATCAAGATCCGTGCTCCAAAACCAACTGGACAACCCTGTGATTTTTTAGATTGATCTTATATGTTTGATCTCGGTACCACAAAAATGTGAGTTCATTCCTACATCCACCTATTTCCCAACCTCTTCCGTTGGCCTCGAGGCGAGAGTCGACTCTTTCCTTCTGTTTTGAACGTAGAGGAGTTGACGCTTCATGTGAAAACCTGTTCAGGATGGCCCAGCAGTTTTTGGGGTCTTTCCAGACCTGGCCCTGCGTTTCCGAACTCGTCCAGCTCCGGCCGCCCCTTCTTCGACCAGGGGGCGAGCCGAGCCCTTGGAGCAGGCGGTGATGTTGAGGTAGGAGGTGCCGTTGAAGGGGCAAAAGGCATCCAACCTCAGGCAAACGCGGTGTTTGGTTGGGAGGGGTTGCGCCATAGGAGGGAGTGGGACACGTGTTTGAGAAGTAGGGGAACTACAGGAGATCTGCCACAAGAAAGGGATACTTCAGAAAAAGAAGAGGGGGGGGCTAACACTTAGGCTATATAACAATCTTTGGACTTAAATTTGCGGGTGCCAACTTCGTCTGCAGACCGCAGACCCACCAAAAAACGCGGGTCTGTCAACACAAGCAATTTGGTGGGTCAACTGAAATGGGTCGACACAAGCGAATACGCCACTCTCTCCGATCCATCTCGAAGCTTAAGCGGAACGACGGCAACGAAGCTTAAGCCTCAAGATGGTGCTCGCCATGACTCTGAAGAACCGGAAAATTCGTGCAGCACCATCGATTCCTCCCAAACAGGCCCTCGACTTCGTGAGCTTGGTGATGCTTTAGGGTCGAAAATGCTGAAACCAACAAATTCCAGCTGGTCTTCAAGGTCTTCATGGACCCAAAGAATCCAGTTTACAGTCATTGACCTCCAAATCCGTTTCAAAACCAAAGAGCCGAGCTCCTTCAGGTGACCCAGCGCCGGACGGAGCTCCTTCAGGTCCTCCCCGGACGGAGGCTCCTAAACCGCGCACGCGTTGTTCTCTCGTCAAGGCACTTCACCAGGCAGCTGTCCACCACGTAAACAATGCCATCGATGGTGACCTGGTGGACCGGTCCAGCTTGAGCAGAAGGCAGGTTCCCCAGCAGGACACCACGGCGGTTCAGTGGAATGATGGAATTCCTCTGAAAACCTTGGTTGTGGGTCCTCTGGTGCCCTGAAAAAATCACCCGATGTTCTTCCAACTCGACACGTGCCGCGCTGAAAGCGCGATGACCCGGAAGAACCAGCGCTCTTCTTCCTGCTTGTTTCCTGATGCATCCGTTTTTTTTGCGCTTGACTTCTTTTGGGCCGTGGAGCCCAAGAGTGAGTCCGCCGAGGCTTCCGGTCCCCCGGGCCCCGAGCGGCCGAGGCTTCCGAGCGGCCGAGGCTTCCGCCAGGTTCGTGGCCACCACCACCTTCCGGTTGCCCCGCGCTGGCGTCACAAAGGCCTGACGAACAGCGCGGGACGAACAGAAGAAAGTGGGGAACATGGAAAACCAAAGGAGTGGGGGGTTTTGCTAGAAGACCCATGGTCGTCCTTTTTACGTTCATATCAATATCCGTAAACTTGAGCGTGGCTTACCCTCCCAAAATGCCCCCCCTTTTTTCGCACGTCCCGTGAGATCACGGGGACTGTAAATCACCAGCTCCCGCTCTCGTTGGCCTTGAGCTGCTGCTCCTTTGGCAGCGTGCCGTGCAAAGGCACCTTGGCACAGACCCCGCGACCCAACGGATCGATCAGCGGCTGAGTGCTGGATTTCAGACACGAGCTCTCTTTCTGTTGACCCGAAGATGAGAAACTGCTTAAACACCCCAATGGCCTCTCCAGTGGACCATCCCACTTACAAGGGAGTGGGGGTGTTGGTAGCCCCCACAGTCCTGCAATCCGATTTGGACAGACCAAGAGCCCAACAGATCCCTCCTCAGCTGCCCAACAGCCCAACACTCTCCTTGGTGATACGTCCGGATCTTTCTGTCGTCTGATCTTATCCATCAAATACCTGGAGTGGCGGAGTCGCCTGATTGGTTTCAATGTTTTTGCGAATATGCCATAGCGAGAAAAGAAACATGGTCAAAGTTCAGCTTTACCCGTAATGACCAGAAAAATGATCAAACCATGTTAAACCACCTTTCCACCATTTTCCATCAGACGACAGGCACATAGATGTCACGCCTGGGTTCCATGCAGAGATGTCAATCAAGATCAGATCATTAGATAAATATTGGAGGGTCTGGATGCACAGTTGTGTTCATTTGCGACCATCCGAATAGATATGCTTGGAACAGTTGATACAGTCATATACAGTCATACATGTTTGCCTTGCGATGCGGTCCACCGGGCTACGCATGGGCTACGCATGGGCTACCAATTGGGCTATTCCTGTCCATATCAATGCATGCCACCAACTCAATGGTCAGTCTTGCAAAAGGTGGAAGCAGGAAGCTCCTGAGCGGGTTTATGCTGCTCTTGCCACTTTCCACATCATTCAGGCGAACCAAATCAAGCCCCGCTCCAATCGCTGGACCGGTGCGCCACTTGAAGCGGCTTTGGCTTCAAGGAAGGCCTCTCTGCCATCTCGCGTGCCTGATCCACACCCAAGTGGCACACGACGGCCCCACATACATTTGGGTCAAGACTTAACACTCCCAGACCTGGTAAGTTCATGGCCGATGCGCGTTGATGGCCGGGTGCCCATGCCAATGTATTCTCCCAGATTGGCCCCTTCAGAAGAACAACAGTCAAACAACACTGTTGTAGATGAATGTGAAACCACCCTCTTCAAAAAGCTTGACGAGTAGAACCTTTGGAGATCTACATATGCCATAGAGCGATCAAAACAATGCTGCATGTATCCGCACTCAAAAATGATCTACATGCCACCATGGGGTAGCGGGTAGCACAGCTTGCGGAAAAAGAATACGCGTCAGTCAGCACGCACTTCCAGCCCAACCACCACTGCCAAAACGATGGTTTTCTCTGGTCAACCCAGGGTATCGTTTCAATCAGTCTATTCTCCGTCTATTGACGTCGTTGGGTCCGAACAACATGCACCACCACTCGGAACCACCGCACGGTTCCGCGAACGGACCCGCTGCATGCGCTCAATGATGAGAGAGCATGCCACGTCGATCTCCTGCACCGGTCCACCACTCTAACGGGCAATCCGGAAGGAAATGATGCGAACTCCGAACAGTGGAAATCTGTGCACCGAACATGCACGAAGAAGACCGGTCTTCCGATCGCATGGATGGCCATGGCGTGGATCGCCCCAATCCGGCGGGTCTCCTCTCGTCCAGTTAAGAAAACCAGGATGTCGCCCTCTGGAAGGCTGCGATGGATGTTCATCACCTTTGAATGGATCCAAGTGGCTTATGGAGAACTACTGTAGCTGCTGGGCTGGCTGAACACAGGTGGGCTCCAAGAAACGGGTCGTTGAAAGGGGGACAGGTGGCCATCTCAGAAACTTGACTTCAGTTTGATGACTTCAAGTGAATATACGGCTGGAATCTGCTGGTTGTCATGGACGCGTCTATCGAAAAAAGAATGGAACTCGACGCCGGCACCGCACCAGATTCACCGCTGCTTCCACATAGTCGCCCGTGGGCTCGTCCAAATAGTGCACCTCGCAGATGGGGGCGGAGATCGGCACCCATTGAGCGCTTGGGGAACAAGAAGCTACTAGGAGCAAAGGGCATCGCTACTAGTAGCAAGGACGCTACGAACGGGGCTCCTGGCCTTACTACTAGGAACAAGAAGCTACTAGGAATTGAAGCCTCCCGACGTCGTCGTCACCGGTGGTTCCCACTCTCCTCGCCTGGACATCATGAAGTCGGCCTGGACCGTTGCACCGCAAACACGTCGTTTCATCGGGTGCCCGTCGTTTCCCAGACGTCTTCGACCGGAAAAAGAACGAGCTTTTAAAGCATCCGTTTCACCAACTTGAAGAGCTCTGAGACGTCGCCGGCAGCGGTGCCTAGCGGTGCCTTTAGGAAGAGTGCCTTTAGGAAGGGCTGTGGTTCAAAAGCTGTCGTTGAAAAAACAGGTAACATCCCAAAGTAAACAGAATCCTCTACCAGATCACTCCCGGCTTTAGCTGGTTGCTGTTTATTCAGACCTAAAGAATAGTTTGCTGCAGCATGCTACCCATGAGAATCAAGTCTCCAGCCTTCCACTTCGAGTAGGCAGCAGTCCCTCTCTGGGACACCTCCACGCCCGCCGCCACTAAGGTCAACGCAAAGCCTGACAGGCGGTGTTTATCTCCAAAAGCCTTTTCTGACTGGAAACAAAGGATCATGCAAACTTTTTGGGCGCGCCCGTGCACCAGCACCGGAACACCACCGCCAAGGCATTCTGAACACGTATCTTGAAAGCTTGAAACCTTGAAAACATCAACCACCAAAATCTTCGGTCAACGCACTCCTGCCATGAAAGTGGCTCGAACACTAAGTCTCAAAGATCAACCCAGTTTCCTCAAAGGAAGACTACGTCAACCTAAGCCAACTCCACCGAGCTACGTATTCCTACTGTTCAAGGAAAAGCTTCCGTTCCCCATCTGAATTGCAAAAAAACACTTTGCATGTGGTATATTCATTGATCAAACAAGGCCCCCAACCACGCGAGTCACACCCAAAAAACATCCCAAAAAGGCCCCACCCCCTGCAGAAAAAGAGCTCCTGCTGCCGCACCTGCGCCAATCGGCCTCTTCACTGCGCCGCTGCAACGTCTCACCCGTCTCATCGTCCCAGCCGCGCAAGCGCGGACGCTTGGGCGGTGGTGCTGGCCAGCAAGGACATTTCTGAATTCTGTGATCCCAAAAACTATGCATTCCAATAACTCCTCTTACACCAAACTGGTTCCATAAGGCGCGTAAGGCGTGTAAGGCGGCCCAGCGGGAATCGGCCTGCGCCCGTGCGGCCTTTCCGCGCCAGGAAGCTCCTGGCGGTTGACCGGCAGACCGGCAGTGTTTCACGTGGACATTGGAAGCAGTCACGAAGCTGGAGAAGAAAAGTCTGTGTCCTCTTCAGGAGGTTCCTCTAACAGGATTGTGTTTCATGTTGTCGAGCCTATGCGAGCAGTTTCTGCGGTGGCACGCAGCAAGCCCTTCTCACGGGGCCAATTCTGTGCGGCTTCGCACAAATTGAGGAGGCATCTCTTTCTGGATTCGTTTATCCAAAAGAAGAGTGCCCGACGCAGCTTCAGAGCCTCATCTTTTTCATGAACCAATGGTCTGAGTGTTTCCTAACTCCCCTTCCTTCCCAACCCTCCAATCCGAACACCGTCGTGTTCACCAGGCTGCCCGGCAGGAAGGCGCCCGCGTCCAACGTTGCAGAGGCCACCACGAGCCGCAACCGGGGGCGCTTCCGGCAGATCTTCTTCAGCCTCTGAAGGGACTCGGCCGACCGCCATGGGACTCCGTGAAAATCGATCATGTTTTGCTGCCTTTTGGGAGGAGCGTTAGTACTTCCGGGGAGAGAAAGCGGTTGGGAGGAAACATGAAAACCCATTCACGTTCCTGTGAAAGACAAGCCATTCATTATTTATACTAAAATGCAATTGTGTGGTCAAAAAGTTGGCCTTCAAGCACTGTTCATGCTTGCTGGACCCTTCTTCGATGATCCCAAACTCGCAAGTGCAATGCTTGCAAGATCATCTCAGGTTGGAATTCGAAGACGATCTTCCCGCAGTCTCAGGATGTCTCAGGTGTCTCCTGTTACACCGGCGTCCAACTTGCCAACTAGGTCTCAGTAGGGAGACCTCTCAGGTTTTTCCAAGAATGAAAATAGACCCGTCTAGCCAAGGGCTGGCCATTTAAAATGACCCATTGACTCCTTTTTCGGATCCAGGCTACAAGCCGAGCAAGAGGTCTGTGTTGGCGCTCCTCTCATGAGCTTCATCCACGACGATCACGCCTAGGCGGGCTGAAGAGCTCAGCAGCTTCTGGTGGAGGTTTGCCAAAGGATCTTTGCCGGTGGATAGGACTTTGATGCGAGACGGAAGCCTTTCTTACAAGTAAGATCAAGTAAGAAACGACTATATGGAACAGACAATTCACGTCAATTCCAAGAGCGAGCTTTGAGAAATCTTGACATGATCCAGCTGTGTTTGGCCCTGGACCCACCTGCAACACATTGTCTCCACCCGCAAAACGTAACCCAATCCGGCCCCGTGGCTGAAGCGTGTGAGCAATGGATCGCTCAGCATCTCTCGGAGGAGGATGCCCTCCGTGACAAACTCGATGCGAGTGACACCAGGAGTCACGTGGCTCTCAAAACCTTCCAGGAGTCACTCGAGCGATCACTGTGGGGTCATTGACCAGGTCATCCACAGACCGGGTGCCTGACCTGGGAAGATCCACCAATAAAGTTGGGCATTTCTCGTCGCCGCATTCTCTATTGTGGAGAGTCAACAGAGTCAACCTCTTTCCATCCTTGCTTCCTGGATCAAGTGGCCTTCTGGCCGTATATGGTCGAAGTCACAGGGTTTGCCGGGTAAAGTGTGAAGATCCCCATGTTTTTCCTCTACTTGGTGCTGCTTTGACTTCACGGTGGTGAGGGGGAGGATATTTGATCTGGAACCCGAAAGGAACCAACGCCAGAGATCTTAGCCACACCCAAACCCACACCAAGCTCAAGCCTTTTCTGTAGAGGGAGGGAGGGAGGGAGAGAGGGAGAGAGAGTCATTGTCAGAGAGCTTGATCAGGCAGCTACCAAGCACATCTCCAGCCCATGAAAACTTTAAAGAAATCGGCAAGCAGTTATATACTGTGATTGGCTTACGAAAACAGTGAACTTGCTCAAGTCTAAAGCTCGGAACTTCTTCTGAAAAAGATGTGAATGAAAAAGATGCCTCCTTTGCCCAAACTGAGAACTGAGGAAGAAAAAAAGACACAAAGATGCCTCCATCGCCTCATCTTGCTACCATCTGATCCTTCCATCCCTTTCTTTCTCCCCGGCCAAGGCACGAATCCGATAGCCCACCTCCCGGCCCAGCTGGGCGCCCATCTCCACCGCCACACGCGAGGCCACCGTCACCGCGGCCAGGCGCCGCGGCAGCGTCACGCAGACCACGTAGCCTGCGGAGAGGAGTCACGCGGTGGGCATCGCTCGACATTGGCATTGCTTGGCACCTCCCCCTTGGACAAAAACAAGTCTTGTTTTCTCCTGAAAACAAGAAACAACCCCAAAGAAGCAGCATTTCCTCACAGCCTCCAGGATTTAGACTCAACATGACTCAACCCACCAACGCTGAAAATCTCTGCCTGCCTTTGGCGGTCCAGCCGGCATCATCCAGGTACTGGGGCAGCTGGGTGGATTTCCCACAGCCGGTGGCCCCACACAAGACCACGGCCCGATGGGTCTCAACCTAGGTCAAAGCAGCAACGCATGCGTCTACCCCGTCTCAACGGTTCAAACAAATGGATGCATGGATATGTTCAAGCAAATGGATGGCCTTCTTTTCTTTGGCTCGATGGTCAAGAAAAGTCCGGAAGCAAATGGAAACGAAGCAAGCCACCTGTTGAGACAATCATACTTGGAAAGCTTACTGAAGACCATCAGGAATAATGAAACATGGAAATTGCGTTGCCTCCTCTGTCACAACCTTGCATTCTCATAGGGCACCCATATGTTGTTGCACAAATTGTTCATTTGTGCGGTCTGTTCTGGTTCAGAGCTTTTTGTGGATGTCAGGTCTATACTTGGAAGCCAAGTCGCGGCATGTAGGATCGCGAGGCGGTGCTTATAGATCGGCAGCCGCTTGCGCTGCTGCTCCACCTTCACGGCCCATGTAGAGGATCGGACTTTTTCAAGACAAAGTCATTTCAACTAATGTATTGTATCACACTTGCACGCAAAACTCCCCCCGTATTGTGTCCCTTTTCTTAGTTCTGGTCACCAAGCTATGTGAGGCAGATTCTTCGGGTAGAGTTGATTTCTGGGGGAATGAAGCATCCCCCCTGGACCATTCGTTAATGGAAGCCCAAACAACCTCGCTCGACGTAGGGTGCCGCCCCTTGGGTACTCCTCCAGGCCGGCACCCATGTGGTTGATAAAAAGGG